GGGGCTGCTCGGAGGCTGCTGGGGCGCAGGAGCGGCGCGCGGCGGCCAGTGCGCCCCCGGGGACCCCGGCTAAGGCCGCGGGCAGGGCCCCCGCTCCCCGAGGCTGCGCTCCTGCCCGCTGAGACGGCTCACAGGCAGCTTTTATTTCCGAAACCTCCCTTTTCTCGTCTCAGAACAATGCCTTTGAACTCTAGCTCGCTGGGGGACTTGCAGAATTAGCAAACGGTAAAATCTGAGCGTTGAGTACAAGGCGAGCCTGTCAATTGGACGTGAGGACCGGGATCGCATCGTGCCTTTGAGTTCCGAAAGGTGGAACAGGCTGGTTAAATGTGGAACCATCTCGAGCTGGCCCCGTGGCTGTTCCCAGCCCATCACTGCAAGAGGGGAGCCCCCGCCCCACCCCGCCCGGCGCAGGGTAGGACTGACCCTTTTGCCAGAGACCTTGGGTGAGGGCCTCCTCCAGCCTTAAGAACCCAGCGAGCCAGGAGCAGGGACCCACGGTCCTCAGGTTAAGTGGCAGGTCGTGGGCCTGCACCGGGATTTGAGGTGTATTTATTGTCTTGATGAAGAATTGGTGGCTGGCTCCTTGCTCGTGGCAGAACAGCAACCATTAATCAGGCAGCTGATTCCAGCTCTTTGGGTCATTTCCTCATGTTTCACTTAGTGACTCTTTCCCCCTTTGGGGCTCTGAGGGCTGTGGCCTCCTCCTTGTGTGTCCCCTCAGTGTAGTTAAGCAGGAGGAAGGCGGGACCTTCTGGCCTGCCTGCTCTTCCGCCTGCCCATCCTTGACAGTGGCACATTCACCTGTGGGAGACAGCCCCTTGTCCCTCTGCTTCCACATTCTGTCTCTGAATGTTGTTTGTTTTTTTGTTTTTTTAAATCCTCACCTGAGGATATTTTATTCCATTGCTTTTCAGAGAGAGTGGAAGGGGAGGGGGGAGAGAGAGACATCCATGTGAGAGAGACACATACATTGGCTGCCTCCCACACGAGCCCCTGAGGGGCAGGGGATAGAACCTGCAACTGAGGTACGTTCTCTTGGCCAGAATCAAACCCGAGACCCTTCAGTCCTGGGGCCGATGCTCTAACCACTGAGCCAAACTGACTGGTACAATGCACACTGGCAGGTGCAGAGGGAGGGAGGTAAGCTTCCCATTCTTTTGATGCAAGTCCCAGAGGCTGTAATCATTCAGTCAGGAATTATTTTAGCACTTTAATCCCCTAATCCCCTCCAGCTCTGGTCCCTCAACACCACCCTGGGGAAGTAGAGCTGTGTTCCCTGGGCGCCTTCTTGTTTCACTCTTGTCCTTTAAAGAATAGCGCCTTTCCCTTCAAATGTATAATTTAGATGTGATGGCCAGGATTTCAGGCTGGGCTTCAGAGCCCCTTTGACATCTACTGTACAGATGCTTCCCCCCCCCCCTTACGACGGGGTTACATCTGAATAAACCCATCATAAATTGAAAATATCATAAGTCGAAAATCACCTACCGAACAGCATAACTTAGCCCAGTCCACCTTAAACGTGCTCAGAGCACTTGCACTGACCTACAGCCTGGCATCCGTTGTTCACCCTTGGGATGCCATGGCTGTCTGAGAGCCGCGGCTCGCTGCCACCACCCGGTATTGCAAGAGAAGGTCGTACTGCATATCAACAGACCAGAAAAAGATCAAAATGCCAAACTCGGAGTATGGTTTCTGCTGAACATATATATATCGCTTTCACACCATCATAGTGTCAAAAAATCGTTAAGTCAAACCATCGTAAGCCGGGGACGGTCTGAACCGGTGGTAGTGCTGTGCACACCCTTATTTATCTGTTTGGCGCAAGTTCCCAGCATTTTCTCTGCATTACGGTTGAAGTAGACGTTCGTGGACTAAGCTTACCCCCCCTACCGCTAGGAGTCTTGGAACGTATCCACTTTGTTTTTCCTCATAGGGCAGGAGAGACAAACCAACCAGCCAACCAAAATAATATAACCTTTACTTCCTCTCCCTTCCCCCGCCCCCGTAGGTTTTCTGCAGGGTTGAGAAGTGGTAGTTCTGGATAATTAAGCGTTTAACCTTTAAGTCTGAAGTATTTTGCCTAATCCATTGGATGGGAATTTCTTTGTCTTGGTGAAGGAAGCATATTGAATATACAGGTGTGATTCAAGTGGTTCTTGAAGCTTCAGGGTACTAGTTGATGGCCGGTCAACCTGAGTGGAACTGAGAACTGAAGCAGCGTGACCCAGAGGAGACACTGACATTTCCTTACTTGAAGACCTAATGCCAGTTGGTTTGGGGTAATTTGCCTACTTCTAATAACAGCTGAACCCTGTGGAATGTCCAGTGCCAGGCACTGGACTGGGCACTGTCATATACCAACTTTCATCCCATTTGCAGATAAAGGAACAGGGACCCAGAATTGCTAGTAGGATTCAATTCAGGTTTTTTGACTTGGATTCTATACTGTTAACCAATGTGCTGGCTGACCCTCTGCTAAGATCAGATCTCTAGTTGATTTAGTATGGCTGCCTTGTTTTGCAACATGAGGTTCTGGACCAAAGGCTAATGTAGCCTTCTCCCAAATGGCTTCCTGGCCCTGCAGAAGTCTGTGGGCAAAGTGTGTGTCACCTCCGGCAGTCCCTCAGGTTTTACACATGCACTGGGGCCTCACAAGAGCATTTCTCCCAATGCCTGGGTGAACAAAAGCCTTTCTTTTGGTTATGTAACTTTGTATTTCTGAATCCTCAGTAAAAGAGAACATTATTTTAACAATAATTTTCTAGATTAGATAATACATTTACATGGTAAAAACATACAATGAAATAGGAATAAAAGGTAGCTTAATCAACCTGATGAAGGCCATCTACAAATAGATAAACACAGTTAACATCATACTTAATGGTGAAAGACCGAAAGCTTTACCCCTAACTAAGATCAGGAACAAGACAAGGGGGTCTGTTCTCACCACTTTTATTCAACATTGCACTAGAGGTTCTAGCCAGGACAGTTGGGCAAGAAAATGAACTAAAAGGCACCCAGGTTGGAAAGGAAGGAGTAAAACATCTCTACTTGCTGATAACATAATCTTGTGTGTAGAAAATGCTAAAGAATCCACAAACAAAACTACTAGAATTAAAAAGCAAGTTCAGCCAGGCCGGTGTGGCTCAGTGGTTGAGCACCAACCTAGGATCTGGGAGATGGCGGTTCGATTCCCTGTCAGGGCACATGCCCAGGTTGTGGGCTGGATCCCCCAGCGGGGGTGTGCAGGAGGCAGCTGATCAATGACTCATCATTGATGTTTCTCTCTCTCTCCTTCTCCCTTTCTCTGAAATTAATAAAGACATATTTTAAAAAAATGTTTAAAAAGTAAGTTCAGCAAGGTTGTAGAATACAAAAATCAATAAACAAACATTTCAATTTCTATACACTACCAATGAACACTATGAAAATGAAATAAATGAAAGCATCAAAAAGAATAAAATGCCTAGGAATAAATTTATTAAAAGAAGTCCAGGACTTATACACTGAAAACTATAAGACATTATTGAAAGAAATAAAAAAGTCCTAAATAAATGAAAAGACATACAATATTCATGGATTGGAAAACTTATTGTTACGATGGCAGTGCTCCCCACTGGCCTCCAGATTCAATGAAATTCCTATCAAAATCCCAGGTACTTTTTTGCAAAAATTGATAAATTGATTCTAAAATTTATATAGGCATTCAAGAGACCCAGAATAGCCAAGGGCATCTTAGAAAAGGACCAAGTTGAAGGACTCACACTTTTCATAAAAGTAAAGTAAGTGAAGTTTATAAAATGTATCAGTAATCAAGATCATGTGGTATTAGCATAAGGATAGACACACAGCCCAATGGAGCAGAACTGTAAATCCAGAAATAAACCCATACATCTATGGCCAATTTTTTTTCAACCAGATGCCAAGACTATTTAACAGGGGAAAGAATAGCCCCTGTTCAACAGTGGTGTTGGAACAACTTGATATTCATATGCAAAAGAATGAAGTTGTATCCCTACCTCATACTGTATTTAAAATTTAACTCAAAATGAATCAAAGACCTAAAAATTAGATTTAAAAAGTATGAAACTCTTAGAAAGAAGCATACCCATAAATCATCAGGACCTTGGATTAGGCAATGGTTTCTTACAAAAATACAAGCAACAATAACCACAAAAATAGACAAATTGGACTTTATCAAAATTAAAACGATAATGCTTCAATGGATACTATCAAGAAAGTGAAAGGACAACCCACTGAATGGGAGAAAAGTTGTGCACAAATATTCATAGTAGCATTATTTATAATAGAGAAAGAAATGGAAACAACCCAAATGTTCATCGGCAGCTGAATGGATAAACAGAAAGTGGTATATTCATACAATGGGATACTGTTCAGTCATAAAAAGGAATGGAGTCCTGTTACTGGCTACAATATGAATGCACCTGGAAAATATTATGCTAAGTGAAAGAAGCCAGACACAAAAGGCAACATGTATGATTTTATTTATATGAGATGTCCAGAATAGGCAAATACAGAGACAGAAAGTAGATTAGTGGTTGCCATGGCTGGAACTGGGTGGATTGGGAATGCTTGGTAATATGTATCTGGATGAATGAGAATGTTCTAAAATTAGTTGTGATGGTTGCACAACTTTATGAATATACTAAAACCACTAAATTGTATGCTTTAAATGGGTAAGTTTTATGGTGTGTGAGTTATATCTCAAAAAAGCTCTTATGAAACAATCCAAACTCATCCTGTACAGAACAAAAACATTTGTAAAGTGAATGAAAGAATGAATGAATCTATTTACATTATATATTCTTGAAAATGTATTTCAGAGTTTGTTCCATATTAGTACTTTTAAAGTACCAGATGGGTGTGCAATAATTCTCTATTTTAAATACATGGTGATGAACATTTAAGTCATTTCTGTTTTTTGGCTATGGCAGACAATGCTGCATTGAATATCCTCATAGACAACCCATTTCACAAAAGCACGGTTATTTATAAGATCAATTCCTAGAAGAATAATTGCTAAGTCAGAGAGAGTTTGCATTTTAAAGGGTTACCAATATTGCCAAATTGCTGTCCATAAAGAAGTTGTACCAATTTGCCTTCCTACCAGCCATGTACCAGTGGGCCTGTTTCCCCACACCCTCACCCACGCAGTGAATTATCCAATCTTTTGATCTGATGGGTAAACTCAATATCATCCTCTCGTCTAAATTTGCCGTTCTCTGTTTGTGAGAGAGGCTGGAAAGATTATTTAAATTATTAGTATTCTCTGAAGCTCTCCAAGCTTCAGAGGGATGTAGAATTCACTATGGGAAAGCAGAGTCAGGGCTTGCCTGCCGGCCAGGGAAGCTGCACATAAACCCCAGAAGTGGGTGTGAATCACACGGTGAACTAGTTTTACCCTCTTTAATCACATCCATCTGTTGGGCTCCTCCTTCGTGTGAAATGCTCTTCCAGTTTCATAAGAGAGCTGGTTAATCAGGAAAGCTCTCTCAGGGCTCTAAGGTCATTAAATGTTGAAAGTGCAGTTCTTCCATTGCTCATGTCTGTGGGGATTGGGAAGGGCATATCGGGAGGCTGGGAGATATGAGTGGCCTGATGTTATGTCCAAACACATCCAATGGGCACTGCTCAAGCTCATACAAACCAGATCTAGGTAAAATGAATGGGAAACCTCTGAAAAATAACCACAGCTTTATTTTGTGCTTTCTTTCAGGAACTGTCTACCTTGACCATGCAGGAGCCACCCTGGTCCCCCAGAGCCAGCTCACAAGCTTCACTCATGATCTCATGGAGAATGTTTATGGTAAAGAAAAACACACCATAACTGATTTTTGCATCGGACATTAGCCAACTACAGTCAGCTGATATATCTCTGATTAATAAATGTTGGGTTAATAGACTGGGACTGAGCTGAGCACCCAAAGCTGAATAAGCATGGTGAAGAGGGGATCAGGCAAACATGTCATTCCCTATAACACACGTGCTGCTGGGATGGGAGAACTGGCTCAGGGACACATGTGTCACTTCCAGAAGAAGGGGTCAGTGTCAAGAAAGGCACAGAGCCACAAGGTTCTTTATTTGGTGGTGTGATGACCCTGTGGGACTGTCACTGTGCAAGAAGTGGGACAACAGGAGGAACATTCATTCATTCATTCATTCATTCATTCATTCATTCATTCCATAAATAATTGTCAGCCACTCTGATGTCCAGGGCATCGTGCAAATGGGAACAAGGTAACCACTCTCTGCCTTCTTGGACTCTGGTCTAGTCAAGGAAAGACCTTAATCCAGTCATCTCCAAATAAATGTAAAGTATCAGCTGTGTGAAGGGCTGTGAACAAAAGGCCTCTGGTGCTGTGGGGTCTGGATCTGCAGAGTGACAGTGGGTTGGCAGTGTGAGTGTCAGGGAAATTTCCTAGGGGTGGGCTCCATGCTGGAGGACAAGCAGGAATTCACTCGGAAAAGAGTCAGGAGAAGGACATTTCAGGCAGAGGGAACAGCATGAGCCAGGACCCTGATGTGGTTTCAGGAACCAGCCCAGGAACACGGAGGGGTGGAGAGGAGTGGAGGTATGAATGGAGAGGTAGGGAGATACCTTATAGGTGCTCTGTAGAGTTTGATCTTTAGACTAGAAACAATTCTCAGTCACTGAAGGTGTTAATCAGAAGCATAATGTGACCAGGACTTAACTTTGGAAAGGGAGTTTGAAATAACAGTAGTAGCAGATGTAACAGTGGTAATGATAATAGTAATAAATGATAATAACCTGTACCGAACACTCATTGTACTTAAAGTACTGTCCCAAATGCTTCATCTGTATTATCTCTCCATCCTCACGACAAGCTAAGGTACAGGTTCTGTTATCACTCCTGCTGTCCAAGTGAGGAAACGGGCCCCAGAGAGGGCAGTAACTACCGAGGCCACATAGTCAGGACGAGCTGGAGCTGGGGCTGTTGGGGGAGCTGAGTCTCTAGACAGCCTGGCTCCATAGTGCAAGCCCTTAGTTCCCAGCAGACTGCCTCAGTTCATGACAGTCTTGTCCTGCCACACTAAGGCTTTGGGAGCCAGCAAATATTTACATCTGGGAAACAGTCTCTAGGGAATATGCCCATGAGGGACTTTATCTTGACTTTAATCCATGATTGTCAAAGAGATCTGCAATTCTATGTCCTAAACCTTTGCAAGAGTCGTAACTGTGGGAAAGGTGCTGACCTGAGAGATGACTAAATTGAGACTGCAGGTGTTCCCAATGATATGGGGCTAAAAACCAAGGGGATGAAAGGCAACCTGGGTAAATTCCAAGTCCCACAGGTTACTAGCTGATATAGAAAAGGAACATTGGTAGTTTCAATGGCTAAACATTTAGTGTGGTTTGAGAAAACAAAAACAAAGACCCTAAAACAGGAAGTCCCAAGATTTGCCTTAGCATGTACATGTGGTCCTGTGTCTGAGAAATGGGGGTGACCGGTCCCTGTAGGGCAGGTCCTTCGATAGGCCCATGTTCATATCTTGGGCCAATGTTTTGAGGGATATAATGATACTCTGGGACACACACAGGGGGCACACCAGGATGGGGGAGAAAAACTAGAAGTTGACAAAGGAAAGGTGAAGTTGAGAGAGTCTTTAGCCATGAGAATGGGTGGCTAAGGGGAGTCATGATGGCCCCCTTCACGCATTTGGAGGAGGAGACATATGTGTTTCTGCAGAAACAGTGCCAGTAGCAGGGGTGTGAGCACAGGGCAACAGGCGGGGCCTTAGGTTATGTGGTGTGAATGGCTCTGTCTCATGGTTAGGGGACAGCACAGCCTCCTGAGGTGTGGACTTGGCTCCCTGGAGTTAACAAACAGGACCGGGCTGGCCACCTGCTGGGAAACTTATAGAAAAGGTTCTTGCATTGGCCCGGCAGCCCCTGAGTTGACTTCCAGCTCCATATGCTCTTCCTAGATCCCGCCTTGTTTTACTATTGATGAGAGGGGTTTTTTTTGCTTAGTTTAACAGCTTTCTTGCTGGTGACCAAGCCCTAAAACTCACCTATTTCAAGTGTACAAGTCAATGATTTCTAGCATCACTATAAATCGTTTAGAATATTTTCATTCCCTCAATAAGATCTCTGATGCCCATTCACAGTTGATCTTTGTTGCTCCCCTAACCCCTCAACCTGCCCCTTCCATTCCCTCACCCTCACCCTCACCCTCACCCTCACCCTCACCCTCACCCTCACCCTCACCCTCACCCTCACCCTCACCCTCACCCTCACCCTCACCCTCACCCAGGCAACCACTGATCTACTACTTTCTGTGTCTCTATATGATCACCTTTGCTGGACATTTTATGTAAATGGAATCATACAGTATGTGATCTCTGTGTCTGGCATCTTTCACTTAGCGTGCTTTTGAGGTTCATGCATGACATAGCCAGTAGTTTGTTCCTTTTTATTGCCAGATAATTTTCCATTGCGTGGATATGTTACATTTTATCTATCTGTTCACCAGTGGATGGGCATTTATGTTCCCTGAATTTAGCTTTACAAATAGAGCTGCTGTGAACATTCATGTGTGTGAATTTTTGTGTGGACTTGTTTCCATTTCTCTTGAGTGTATAGGAGCGGAATCTCTGGGTCATATATGATAGTTTTATGCTTAACTTTTTTATCATTGACAGTATTACAGATGTCCCCTATTTCCCCCATTTTCCCCCCCTCCATCCAGGCCCGTCCCACCGCAGGCCTTCCCCGCACTGTCTGTGAACATGGGTTATGCATATATGGATATATATGTTCTTTGGTTAATCTCTTCCCTTTCCCCTCCAGCCTGCTCCCCAGTGAGATCTGTTATTCTGTTCATGCACCCATGCCTCTGGGTCTATGTTGTTCATTGGATTCCTATGCTTATCTTTTTGAGAAACTGAGGGAGAGGGTTTTTGAGGAACAGCAAAGGAGAGACCATAAGTAGTGAGTTACTTGATGGCTTTGTCTTTGTAACCTGCCAGGTAATCCTCACAGCCAGAACATCAGCAGCAAGCTCACCCACGACACCGTGGAGCAGGTGCGCTACAGGTGAGTGGCAGGGACGCCATCCTGAGCGGGCACTCCCGGCTGTATGGGCTTCCTTCCTACCACCTGCCTGCATCCCACAAAGGTTCTGAATTGTCTTCAGAAAGATCACATTCAGTTAAACAGCCACACACACAGTGATAAAGATCAGGGTCAGAGGATGGGAAGGTGAGAGTGAGCGGGTGCTGAGCGGGGCCGACCAGGAGCACAGGGTAGGCAGCTCTGAGGTGTGCGCCGCTGTGCGGCTCCAGGTTGGTGCCGTAGCTCCTGGGGACCAGAGCGATAGAGAGTGACCCAGGTCCTAAGTCTTGTTTCTAGAGAGAATAAAAACACTTTCTTTGGTTTTTCTTTTCATGTTTCATTAGACATCTTGTTTTATTCATCCTCCCCCCTTTTACTAATATTTGCATATTAAACAGCTTTTTATATTTTCCCACATGTAATAATTAGTTTTTGGTAAATCATTTCCAAGTGGTACCTAAAGTTACTTAAATTGATACAATTTCAAATTATTTCCAATTTGAAAGGGATACTGGGTTGCCAAATTTAAAGCATTGTGAAACCAGTTGAGGACTTAAAACTTATGATAGAGCCAGATAGTAGACCAAGGTAGGGGGGTGTTTTCAACTAAGGCGAAGCTAATTGTGGATTTTTGTCTTGTCCAGTGGGGTGGGGATTTGGGAGGCAAGGTGATTTTGCCGGCTTGAATCTATTTGTCATCTCTTCCCACACCTGCTCTGTACCTGCCCTAACTTCACAGTGATGGCAGAGCCTATCTGGGTTTTTTTCTAGCTATTAAGGTAGAGAGATGTCCTATTTAGTAGAAATGCAACTAATTCCAAACACCGAACAGTGGATGAGACTAAGCCGCTGCCGCGATGCTGTGCTTCTTCCAGGATTCTGGCACATTTCCACGTCTCCCCAGATGACTACAGTGTGATTTTCACGGCTGGGAGCACGGCTGCTCTTAAACTGGTGGCAGAGGCCTTCCCGTGGGCGCCCCGGGGTCCGGAGAGCAGCGGGAGCCTGTTCTGTTACCTCACTGACAGCCACACCTCTGTGGTGGGCATGAGGACGGTCGCCACAGCCATGGGCGTCATTTCCATCCCGGTCCGGCCGGAGGATATGTGGTTGGCGGAGAAATGGGATGCTGGCACCAGCAACCCCGAGTGCCAGCTGCCGCATCTCTTCTGTTACCCAGCTCAGAGTAACTTTTCTGGAACCAGATACCCTCTGTCCTGGATAGGAGAGGTCAAGTCTGGGCGGAGGTGCCCCGTGAGCGCTCCTGGGCAGTGGTTCGTGCTGCTGGATGCGGCCTCCTACGTGAGCACCTCACCTTTGGACCTGTCGGTTCACCAGGCCGATTTCATTCCCCTCTCCTTCTATAAGATCTTTGGCTTCCCCACCGGCCTGGGGGCCCTGCTGGTGCATAATCGTATGGCTCCTTTGCTGAGGAAAACCTACTTTGGAGGAGGCACAGCTGCTGCGTACCTGGCAGGAGAAGACTTCTATGTCCCGAGACAGTCAGTGGCAGAAAGGTAACCTCCCCGTGGGAGTCGCTTGGGCGGAGTTCAGCAAGTCTGGCCTGTGCCGCCTGTAGGATTGTGCAGGGGACGAGGCTGAGCCATTGGGGTCAGGGGAGTTGTCTGCCACTGGCAGGGACAGATGTGGGAGGCAGAGGTGGAGGCTCAGTGAACTCTGCTCCTCTTTGTGGGCTCCTTCACCGCTGTGGGAGGATTAGGGCCTGCCGGTGAGGGCTGCAAGCAGAGAGGTGAAAGGATCTCAAGGGGGCAAGAAGGGTGGGCCACCGGGCCTTTGCACAGAGTGCTGGCAAGAAGTGATTTAAAAGATTTTGAACAAGTGTGCATACACATTGACAGCATAGCTGGTTTTTTTAGCAGCTGGAATCAGCTCAGCTTGGCCCTAGTTAATAAGAGGAATCAATTAAACCAGAGGCCACCAGGCTTGTGGGGCACTGTCAACAGTGGCCTCCCTGAGCCCCGCTGTCAGTTACAAGGGACATTTGAAAGCAGGCAGCTACTTGGCATCGAGCGGCGTAGGCCCCTGCTGGGGTTGTTGGTATATGTTTTCCTCTGGCTCTAGGGCAGGGGATGTGGGTTATGTTTGGGAATTTCCCAGAGTGGCGATGGCTGGGACCTGTAAGGTCTAATATGTGAGAGGGCGAAAATGGTAGCTGACTCTGGGTTCTGCTGGTTCCAACAGGAGGGGATTCCGTGGGGTTGGGACAGGTTGGGTCACCTTGCTGGTGCCTGAGAAGGCCTGGGGCCTAGATGGGAAGGTAGGTCAGATCCCCTACAGAACCAGGTGCAGACTCGAGGTCCTACAGAGAGGGGTGTGGCTTTGGCAGTAGAGTTATGGTCAAGTGTGTAGGCCCCACAGCTGGTTCACTGGGGAGTGAATCCTGGCTCCACCTCACACCAGCCGTGGGAACAGGGGCATGTGGCTTGATCTCTGCACCTCCTGTTTTTCCTATAAAGTGGGTCTCTAGCCCTGGCTGGTGTGGCTCAGTTGGCTGGAGCATCATCCTGAACACCAAAAGGTTGTGGGCTTGTTTTCTGATCAGGTTTGGGGTTCGATCCCTGGTCGGGCCATGTAAGGGAGGCAACTGATCGATGTTTCTCACTCACATCGATGTTTCTCTCTCTCCCTTCCCCTCTCTCTAAAATCAATAAGCATGTCCTCAGGTGAGGTTTAAAGAAAAAAAGTGGGTCTATAAAAGGATACAACTCTTTAGAGCTAACGTAGGTGAAGCACCAAGATGGAGTTGGCATCAGTACCTTGTGAGGCTATTTGATGTCTTATTTAGAGCTTCTAAAAAGTGGGGGGAATTCTAAAACGGGAACACTAATGTAAAACCTTTTGAATTCAAGTGTGGTAAGATAGCATGTAATGTAAGTAAGTGAGAAAAGAAAGACAGGCACAACGTGTAAATTAAAGGCAGAACACAGCGACAGCCCAAACTTGATTGCGCCCGTAGAGCACATGAAGGCAGAGAGAAGCCGGGCAGCTCATTCCAGGCAGGGTGTGGGTGGGTTGGGCTATTTTTCATTCATTATTAATTCTGTATGTCTATTAATTACCATTCATTATTGCAGTAGCAATATTTTGAGCAAATCTTATCCCTAGAGTATTAAAATACAGAACACAATATTCTCGTTGAAAGCTTCAACTTGCATTCGGCTGCTCTTTGCCACCACCCTTTTTAAAAATCCTCACCTGAGGATATTTTTCAGAGAGAGTGGAAGGGAGAGAGTAAAACATTGATGGCACGTAGACTGGTTGCCTCCCGTAAGCACCCCAGCCAGGGCTGGAGATCGAGTCTGCAATCAAGGTACGTGCCCTTGGCCAGGAACAAACCCGGGACGCTTCAGTCCTCAGGCCAACACTCTAACCACTGAGCCATACCACCTGGGGCACCACCATCCTTCATCCTGACGCTTGCTGAAACCTCCTCAGTGTCTCCCAGCTTCCCCAGCGCCTCTGCGGCAGCCAGAGGTGTCTCATCAAAGTCTAGGCTCCATCCTGTCACCCCTCTCTGCCCAGAGCCCTCGAGCCCCTGTGATCTCATCAGGGTGGCAGTCCTCTGATTGTATCTCCACCTTGTCCGCTCCCTCCTGGCCCCGTGGGCCTCCTTGCTGTTCGGGTGGCTGTGCCGGGCCCCAGCTCCGCTGGCTCAGGCTGTGTGCTGCACCTTCTGCCTGGGACGCTGTTCTCTCTGGAACTGTGAACTTACCTGTTTGAAAATGAGCGGTTTCCCCCTCCCTTACGTCCATTCTGTCTCTGCTCAAGTGATCTCCCTCGGACAGGACCTCCCCGGCCGTCTCGTCTAGAGCAGCTGCCAGCCCTCTGGCTTATGCATCTTCGATGCACCTGTTGCCACCTGGCTTGTTGCTTATTTGGCTTTTCTCTGCGTGTTTGCTGCTTGTTGTCCCTTCTCTCTGTGCCCTCAGGAGAGTGGAACACTGTGAGGGCAGGGTTTTGCCTGTCGTGTTTCTGCCGCATCCTTAGCACCTAGAACAGTGCCCCACACTCAGTGCAATAAAGATTTGGTGAGTAGGTTGACTGAGTGAATAATTATAAAATTACATATGAACGCCTTGATAATCAGGAAGAGCTACATCTGCTGTATTGAGAGGCTCATAATTTTTGCCAAGGCCTGCGGTTCTGTGGGCTTTGGGATCACAGACCCTGGTGAAGAATCCCACTGCGCTGGTTGATCACACTGGATCGCTGCCCTGGCGGCGGCGCCCTCTTGAGGCCGAGTGCAGCATTGCAAGAGCCCACAGCGCTTGAGGTTGTGTCAAGTCCAAAGTCTTCCTGGGGGCAGCAGAGCGTCTCTCTGCTTGTTAATGTCTCAAGGTGGTTACGGTTACTGCTGCCGCCCACGCGGGGAAAGCTGCGGAGGGGGTCAGGGACAGAGGCAGCCTGGCGGGTCCTGGTGTGCAGAGTTAGGAGGCAGCAGAGAGGAGGTGTTCATAGATTGCGGCTGAGCCTGGGATCACTGCATCCCGCGAAATGCACGTGGAGACGGGGCCACCGCGTGACCTCGCTCCCCTCACCCTGCTTACAGGTTTGAGGATGGCACCATCTCGTTTCTTGACGTGATAGCGCTCAAACATGGATTCGATGCCCTAGAGCGCCTCACAGGTAGGCAGATATTTTTATCCGTGTGGAATTGGTCCCGTGGCCCATGCCCTCCCGGGAGCCCCAGCGCCCCCGGGCGTGGTTCAGGTGAAGGGGGGTGTCCGTGTGAGTGGCACACAGCAGCTGTACCACGAATGCACTTAAAGCAGATTCTGAACTTCAGAAGGACTTCTGAGGCAAGAGACTGAGGCTTTTGTTCTTTTTGTCAGTTAAAAGAACATTGTTACAGGTAAGAGACATCCCAAATCAGGACATTAATAGCTTCACAAAAGCAGAGGAGACATCCCGGGTTCCTGCCCTGGGAATGGTTACAGATCCTGAGACCTTGCTCAGCTCTTACCTTGCTGGATCCTCCCTACAGCCCCACGGGGAGCTATGTGACGAGCCTGCTTTATCCACAGAGGAGCTTGTGCTCAGAGAGGTTAAGTGTCTTCCTCGGGGCCAGGGAATCTGGTAATTGGGAAGGCTAGGAGTTAAACCCAGGACCTACTAACGCTTAACCCTGAGCCTCCAGCCACTGTGTCTGCTGCTGGCCGTTGCAGTGATGCACATTTTCCTACCCTGAGCATTTAGGGGGTGTGGGCAGATTGGGGTACTCACCACAGGCTGACACACAGACAGATGCCACTTTCCATAATATGGGGTTTGGCACAAAGGTACATGACTGGAAGAACCTCTATCTGGTGAGCCAGGCATCCGCCATCCTGCTGTGCCCCTGGGTGCTCCTTCTAGAGGCTGACCTTCTAGAACTGGGTGGCACTGCTTGTGCCATCCATGTGGAGATGGCCCTGTGGTGAACCAGGGGTGCGGCTTAGCGGTTAGGCAGCCCTCTCTCTTTCTCTAGTCATAATAATGGGGCCTGCAGGTCCTCCGCCTTACCCCAACCCTGGAGGCAGGCAGGACTCATGGGCAGAGAGAGGTGCCCCGCAGGGAGGTGAGTAGGCATCACCCAGGACAAAGAGGAGATAGGACAGACACTGAAAAAGGGACACTTTCCCAAGGAGAGATATTACCATGGTACCCAAAGCACAAGTGACGGGGTCTGACAGGGTTAGGGGGCACGTTTGAAAGCAGATTGACAAACCCTGACTTTTCCAACTTAATGGTCTTTTTTTTTTTTTAAAGGATTGTGGTAAATGCTTAAGCAATGTTGTAAAAAATAAAAAAGAGGATGACCGGAATTCCTACGGGAAAATTCAGCAATGGTAAACTGTTGTTTAGTATCAAAGGCCTGAACTTTTATCGTTTGGGCAGTACCAAATATTTACAAGTATTTAAAATCATTACTATCCGGCCCAAGTTTGCCAGTTATAATGATCTGATTTTCTTAAAAATGAGTGGGTAAATTTTATATAAAGCTAGTAATTCTCTTTGATATTTTATCATTGTTTTTGAGGTGGAATGGAGAACATAAAGCAGCACACCTTTGCCTTGGCTCAGTACACCTACGCTGCCCTGTCCTCTCTCCAGTACCCCAACGGGGCTCCTGTGGTGCGGATTTACAGCGACTCTGAGTTCAGCTCGCCAGAGGTTCAGGGCCCAATCATCAATTTTAATGTGCTCGATGACAATGGGAACATCATTGGTTACTCCCAGGTGGGTTGCCTTTCCATCTCACTGACCTGTTCACACCAGAATTGCTCTTGTCTGGAACTCGGCCGCCTCCCCAACCCTAAAATGTGCAGTCATGCCTCTGGACCTTTGCAGTAGCTGTGGCGAAGCCCAGGCAGAGGCCACTGCCCTTCCTAAGAGGCTCTTCACTGTGGCTTACACACAGTTTTGAATGAGTATGGCTGTTTAGTTCTTCAGCTCTCTTTATTCAGCCAGAAATAGTCAATTTCAAGTGGGAAGAGTGAGGCCGAGTCTCTGATAGCAGAGGGAAGGGACAGCTGAGAGCTGCGAGCAAGGTAAACACCCTAAAGTCATGCAGACAGAAAAGCATTGCAGACTGAACACCATGTCAGAGGTCATTCTGTGTACAGACAGCTTGGTATTCCCAGTGGCACACGAGAACCTGTCACAGTGTCGCATAAAATCATGGGCCTGTTTCCACCACCTTTTTGCATGTTGCTTGCAACTCAGAACTCTCTCTCTTTTTTTTTTCTTATGACAAGTGGAAACAATGTTCTTAGTACCACAAAAGTCCTTATTTCTGCCACAGTTCATGAATGTTATAAGTTCAAAGGATTTGATAGGTTGGTTATAAAAATTGTTTCTACAGGTAAAACCTTTGTGTCCATTTTCTCATGAAAATAGTACTGTTTTGTAGGTTGGGAACTGCTTGCGTTCTTGCAACAGTTGAGTAAACTGGTCACCGCCTTGTCCTTTAAAGAGTCCAAAGCCACACCAAGCACTCAGACATGGCAGTCGGTGATCACTAGATGGAACTCCTGAGATTTCATGATCAGCTCTATCTCTATATTACTGAACTATTCGCCAAGGCTAAAGGAGCAGAGTTGCTTTCTGGAGGCCTCTTAGTGCAGCCCAGAGAACAGCTTCTTCTCATTCTGACAGTCCAGGGAGATAGCCGTGGTCTTGACAAGGGAGACACCGGGCTGACTGCGTGGTGACCTGTGGCGCAGCAGCGGGGGCAGCAGTTCTGTGATTCATCCCAAAGTTAGGACATTATGAAAAGCAAATTGATAACGCACAGTGTCGACACAGTAGTGTTTGGCGTCCAGGCTGTGAGCCCAGGTGGGGCTGCTCTGAGTGGCAGCCCAGCTGGGCCTGGACCAGCCCTGAGGCAGAGGGATGCCAAGGAGCTGCCCCGCGTCCCGGCTGCACTCGGATTCTGTACTTAGAATTTGGCCTGAATTTCATATTTTATCAGTAATGTTTTATAAAATGTGTTTAGTAAACTTGTGATAGATCATGGCACTTTAGAGCGAAATTGCAGGCTCCTATTGTCATTTTATTGTTAGGAAAGAGAGGTCCAAATATGGATCTGAAGGTCTCTCCCAGGCAATCAGAGTGAAACTGGACATTCCTAACACGGGTCCCATGTTGCATTTAACCCGCAGGTGGAAAAAATGGCCAGTCTTTACAACATCCAAGTGCGAACTGGCTGCTTCTGTAACACTGGGGCCTGCCAGAGGCACCTGGGGATCAGTGACGAGATGGTCAAGAAATATCTTCAGGTTGGTATCAGGCCCTGTGGCCCAAGCACCTGTCAGCGACACCCCATGGTGGTGCCTCTAACAGTACTGGAGGCTGGTCACTTGTCTGGGGTGAGGGCTGGTTCATTTTTCTAAGCCCCCTCTGTGGATGTGCAAAGGAAAAGGGGTAAACAAAAATAGAAAATGCTTCAAGATAGTATCTCTGTGAAAGTCATTTTTTACTTTGAAGGCAAAAATGTAAAGGCTGAAGAGGAGTTTTAGCATGGGGCAAGCATGAGTGGGAATGTGCTCATACATGCAGAGGACCCTTGACTAGTTCAGTCCTATCAAGGTGAAAATCTCCAAGCTAGTTACCTCATCTCTGGGCTGGTGAGGAGAGGAACCCTTCCAGGGGCATCCTGCATCTCCCGGATACCCTCCCTCCCCTCCTCCCCCTGGGCTAAGGTTTTTCACTTCAAGGTACATATAGCCTGTTTTGAACCATTTCATAAGAACAGTTTGAGTGGCTAAGAGACCTTATTTATTTCAGAATAGCGTCTAACTTAAGTTTTGTTTGGTTGCTACTAAATATTGTATATACAGCACTAGATCCCAACCAACCATGAACTGAGTTTTATTTAAAAAGAGAGAGGGGGAAGCTCAGAACACAAACAAAGAAGTTCCAGATATAATATTTGATCCTGTGGAATGCTGTGGTCCCACCTCTTTGGATGCCTGACCTGGATTTAGTGCTGGGGGAGGAAGGCGTCCAGGGCAGTGGCCAACACCAGGTAGCTGAGCTTGGAGAGGCATGGGGACCTCTTGCCTTTCTTTTCCCACTGCCCAGCAGGGACGCTCAAGCTTCCTTTGGCTTTTGTAGTGGCCTCAGGATGGTGGTTCATAGGGGCAGCATCTCTGTCTTGCCCTGTTGTCAAAGGACAGCTCTCAGGGATGCTGGCCTCCCGTAGGTTCTGCGGAGTGGGCAGCAGGTGTCTCTCCCACCTCAACCCTGGGTGGACCACGGAGTTGACCCCTCAGTGCTTCTGATGCTTTGGGCTGTATTTCGATACCTCTCTCTGTGAGTTGGCTCTGTGCGCAGCTCTGGGTAAAGACTTTCCATGAAGTATTTTGTTTAAGCTTTTAATGACCCCTTGAAATTGGTGTTGACCCCAATTTACACTTGAGCAAAGTGAGATCTAGAAAGTTAGCCCCTGTGCTTATGAAACTATGTCTCAGGCCCCCTGCATATGTTAGGGTTGCAACTCTGTTTTCTGGGTCAATTTTATTTTACCAAATGAACAAAATTTGTTTTGTAAAACTGTTTCCAATTTATCTGTGAGGAATGGCTGAACTAGTTCCCTTTTCCTCCAGGCTGGTCATGTCTGTGGAGATGACGTGGATCTCATAGATGGCCAGCCTACAGGGTCTGTGAGGATTTCCTTTGGATACATGTCTACTCTTGAGGATGCCCAAGCCTTTCTCAAGTTCATCATAACCACCCGACTGCACCCGTCAAGTGGCCAGCCGGTCCCTCAGGCCACCCCCGGGGAGGCTGAAGCCGTACTAGCAGAGAGCGAGGCTCAGAACACTGTGGACAGATGTCGCCCCTCATCCCAGGAAGACACCCCCACAGCCTCCAGGGTTTGGAATGACTTGCCCACTGCTTTGGGTGCTGTGTGTTTGCAACCACCTCTGCCAGAGGCCACCAGGACCCCGCAGACCCCTGCAGAGAAAGCTGCAGGAGTCCTTGATGGGGACCTTGAGCCACATGTCATCACCAACCTTTTCCTCTACCCGATCAAATCCTGTGCCGCGTTTGAGGTAAGGATTTTAATGCCAGAATAGAGAGTGCTTCTTTTTTGTTTACTTTATAATGTTTTTTTTTTGACATAGTGAAGTAAAAAGTACAGAAAGTGAAGAAAAATATGCAGAAAACCCTACTCAAGTTCAGAGTATTGTGACATATGAAGAAGAGCCATTCTCATTCTGCCTTTCTTGGTTTCGGCTGACTTTCGAACATGGCTCTGCTGGCAGGGATCCTTGAGAGGACCCTGTTTCTGAGGGGTGAACACCTAGCTACTGTTAATAATTATGGATATAATGTTCACCGAATGCATGGGCTGGCTCCCTACGGAAGCATTTTATGTATTTTGTTTCCTTTGATTCTTAAAACAGTAATATGAGGTGCGTGGTAATATCATCCTGATTTTATAGATATGGAGCCCGAGGGCTACTGAGGTTAAGCGCTTTCCCCAGGTCACTTGCTAATAAATGACAGAGCAAGGATTTGAACCCAGGTTTGCTGACTCCTTGGGTCCATGCTCTTATGTGACTTGTTCTGCTCAGCCCTCCCTGTAGAAGTGAACTATGTTATGTCCTAAAATCAGCTGTCCTGCAGGTCACCGAGCTGGGAGACTGGAGTGCCTACCTTAATATCACCCTGCTGTGGCCCAAGTGAGGCCATCTTTATAATCTATGTGTGTCCCCAAGTCCCTGGCAAAGGTCCCGGACTCCTGAGCCTCTTGGGTGACAGGCTCTCTGGCTCTTGGTCAGGGCTGTTTGTCACCTGCATTTCAGGGTGGTCCCACAGAAGCCTGTCCTCCAGTCTGAGGCCATAAGCAAGCAAGTTCACCGCCACCTTCATATGGAGGCAGGCGAGGAATCCACGTTTCCCTTGTGTATCAGGACTCTGTTTTCACAGCTGGGTCATGTTCCGTAGGACAGCTACATTGCACAGGTAGAATGGGCAGGAATTAGTGGTCCATTTTACAGATGAGGACACTGAGTCTCAGTAGGGTTTATACATTGCTAAGGGTCCTCCATGCAGAAACTACATACTGAACACCTGCTGCCTGCCAGCCTGTGGGCCAGAGCCTNAGGTCTTCCATCCAAAAACTACATGCTGAACGCCTGCTGCCTGCCAGCCTGTGGGCCAGAGCCTGGTGGACCGTGATGAGCAAAATGGAAATGGTTCCTTCCCTTGGGAAGGACTATGTCTCAGAAGGGAAACAGACACAGACCAAACACCACCCGAGTGAATGGAATCACACTGCTGATAAAGGCCGAGAAGGCAAAGGTGGGGTATGCCAGAGAGAATCCCCGTGGGTCGATGACATAGTCCATTCAGGCTGCTGTAGTGAAGTCCTGTCAACTGGGTGGTTAATAAACAGAAATTATTTCTCACAGTCTGGAGGCTGGAAATGCAACATCAAGTCACGGGCAGATTTGGTGCCTGGTGAGGGCACACTTTGGGTTGACTCCTGCATCCCTTTGACATTTTTTTTGAGCACTACCTTACTTTTCTCGCACTACAAGGTGCTTCTGTCTCATCTAATATATCCCCTGACCTATCCCTAGAATCACCTGTTTCTCCAAGGAGTCCTGGTTCTTTCTATTGAAGAATGATGTTAGAATGCAAGACCTGAGCTCTGGGTATAATTTATATTTTAATTTTGTGGAGAGATGAAAATGCAGGAAAACCATCACACTTAATGTGGATCCACTCAGTAACCATTCCAGGGTAGCCTCAAGTTGTGCAAGAAATATGTCTCCAGTCTCAGGATCTGCCCGTCCGGGCAGCCAGCACTGTGGCGGGGATGCGGAAAGCAGGAGAGATGGAGGCCGTGGGGAGGGGATCTGGGAGGCCAGGGGGTGGAGATTTACTTTACACCTTTGTTCTCTCTGAACGTTGCACTGTGCACATGCATTGCCTACTTAAAAGGCAGGCTGAAGTGGAGAAGGGTGGAAAGTGGATCTCTAGGGTGAGCGGAAGGTGTCGCGATCCTACACTGTCTCCTTTGCACTGTCCCCTTTGTCTTTCTTTTCTTCCCCCCTCCTTCCTTCAAGGGTATGTGCCGAATCCCGAGGTGCATCTGTATGTGTGCAGCCACTGGGCAATACTGTGAAGGTCATTTCTGAGGAGCCCTGACCTAAAATGTGCTTCCTTTTTGGGTAGGTGACCACGTGGCCTGTAGGAAGTCAAGGGCTGCTGTATGACCGGAGCTGGATGGTTGCGAATCACAATGGCATTTGCCTGAGTCAGAAGCACGAGCCCCGGCTCTGCCTGATCCAGCCCTTCATTGACCTGCAGCAAAGGGTCATGGTCCTTAAAGCCAAAGGTATGGAGACTGGGTGCATTTTCACAATGCGGCTGTCGAGAGGGGCTTTAATACTCACGTGCAAGTAAGATGATGGCATTTCCTCTACCGAATGTTAAAATAACCTGAAAGTGAAGTGATGTTTGGAAGAGACAAGAAAAAGTTTGTTCCTCTGCGTTATGGGAATTTTCTGGGGAAAGATAAAGGTCTGAGGGTACAGTCAGAAAGTAAAGAGGTATAACTTTTGAAATGATATGATGTGCTTTTCACTTACATTCCTTTTAAAACCTTCAGTCATCATAATACAGGGCCGGGCCAAAGTGGGTTTCCAGTTGTTCCTATGGAGAAAGACACTCAGGTTATGATTATTGCAACAGCTTCATTAACTCAAAACAATGTCACACTGGCAGAGTGCACTTAGGTACAATCTCGTAAGTGCGCAAATGGCCGGCCTTCATTATTTACACATTCTTGGAGTCTTTGAAAATCAGTCAGCAAACCTGAATTCCAGTGACCTGCTTGGGTTAGCCCCACTGCCTCCTGAGGTGGTTGAATCCAAACCTGCTTTTGCCTTCCCCTGTATGTACTGCAAGCTTTCATTCTCCGTGCTGACTTTTATTATAGACTATCTGCATGTGTGTAAGTACAGACCAGCTCTGTCCAACGGGGCTTTCTGTGACGGGGGAAATGTTCATTGCCTGTGTTGTCCAGTTTGGTAGCCATCGGTCACATGCGGCTACTGAGCACTTGAAATGTGGCTAGTGGGACTCCAGAACTGAATCTTAAATTTTAATTTTAATTTACATTGCTACATGTGGCTACTGGCTACAGTGTTAGCACAGGTACAGGGAGTAACATGATATATGATTATAGCACCCGATTGTAACAAATCTTAACATTTGTCCACATTTGCTTTAGATCCCCTCCTCCCCCTCATCCTGTCCAACTTCTGTCTCTCCTCCTCCCTCTCCTGCTCCTTTTAAGAAACAAAAACATTACAGATATAGCTGAAATTCCCTGTACTTCTCCCTGGTCTCACTCCTTCCTCGCCCTATATACTGTTTGTAGAATATTCCAATGTCTCTCCTAACTTGTAGATGCACTTTTGTGATATGTCACATTTCCATATACTCACAATTGTGTTTCTTGGCTGTAGGTATTCTTTCTGGTTGCAGTGGTTTGTTTTTCCTTGAACCACTAGGCCAAAGTTATTATTAAGGCTACAGAAGGAGTCTTGATATCTGGCAGGGCATGTCTTTCTACCTCATTCTTCCAAATTGTCTTGGCTATTCTTGGCCTTTGTTTCCTGTGAGGATTTTAACACGTGCACGGGCTTGTGTAGCCACTCCCACAATCAAGAGACAAAACAGTTTTATCACCCCAGGCAACTCCCTCATGCTGTCCCTTAGTGGTGTCTCTTCTCCCTACCCTTAATACCTGGCAATCAGAGATCTCTGTCACTGTAGTTTTATTTTTGAGAATGTCATATAAATAAAGTCATACAGTATATGATGTTTTGAGATTGGCTTCTTTCACTCGGTACGATACCTTTGAGGTCCAGGTAAATTATTGCATGTATCAGTAGCTCATTTTTTATTGCTGAGTAGTATTCCACTATATGGATATATCAGAATGTGTTTATCCATTCATCTGTTGATAGACATTTGAGTTGTTTCCAGTTTTGAGTAATTATAAACAGAGCTGCTATAAGCATTCACGTGCAAATTTTTGGGTGAACAGAAGTTTTCATTTTCTAGAATAATTACTTAGGAGTGGGTTGCTGGCTCCTATGGTAAGAGTATGCCCACTTTTAAAAGAAACTGCCAAACCATTTTCTAGAATGACTGTACCATTTTGCTGTTTTTCTAAATACTTTCTGATTCTCCTGACTACTGGTTCTGTTTATTACTGAGAGAGGAGTGAAGTTCCCAACTGCAGTTGTGGATTTGTCTATTTTTCCCTTTTAGTGCTGTTTTTGCTTCATTAAGCTGTTCTTTCTTTAACTAATGTCCCTCTTTACACATGGTAATTTCCTTTTTTATGAAGTATGAAACTCTTTGTGTAATACTAATATAGTCATTCAGCTCTCTTTTGATTAGTGTTTGCAAGGTGTACTATTTCCCACCCTTTCATTTATTTCTTTTAGTATTATTGTATTTATTTAACATACTGCAAAATATTTCTGTTTAAAGTATACAGTTCATTAGGTTTTTTTTGTATATTCACAAGGTTGTACAGCCATCACCGCAATGAATCTTAGAACTTTTTCATCACCCTAAAAGGGAAATTCTATACCGTTATTAGTCACTCCCCATTTCCAGCCTCATCCCCATCCCCTGATAACCACTAATCTACTTTCTGTTTCTATGGATTTGCCTGTTCTGGATGTTTCATATAAATGGAATCATACAATGCATAACTGACTTCTTTCACTTAGCATAATGTTTTCAAGGATCATTCATACTGTTGAATACTATTCCATTGTGTGGATATCTATGAATATCTGTGTACAAATTACCGTGGAGTTATACCTAGGAGTGAAACTGAGGGACCATATGGTAACTCTATTTTTAGCATTCCAAAGTGGCTGCGTCACCATTTTACATTCCCACTAGCCATGCGTAAAGGTTCTAGCTTGTCCACACCCTCCTCAACACTTGCTATTTTCTGTTGTTGGTTTTTAATAGCCATCCTAATGGGTGTGTAGTGGTATCTCATGTCACTTTGATTTGCATTTCCCTAATAATAATGATGTAGACCATCTTTCATGTAGTTATTGGCCACTTGTATCTCTTCTTTAAAGATATCTATTCAGTCTTGGCCGAGCGTGGCTTAGCGGTTGAGCATCGGCCTAGGATCCAGGAGATCTCAGTTCGATTCCCATGGGCTCGATCCCCAGTCAGGGGCCTGCAGGAGGCAGCCTATCAGTGACTCTCATCATTGATGTTTCTATCTCTCTCTCTCCCTCTTCCTTCCTCTCTCTGAAATCAATAAAGATATATTTAAAAAAAAAGGTATTCAAATTCTTTGTTTACTTATTTTTGAATTGAGTTGTAAAAGTTCTTTATATGTCCCGGTACAAATCCCTTTTCAGATCTAAGATTTTCAAATATTTTATCTTATTCTATAGGCTGTCTTTTCCTCTGCTTGATGCCTCCAATTCACTCTCAGTCTGCCTGTACCATTATGTTCAGAGTGAGTGGCTGTATCCAGCAGGTAGCTGGCTCATGCTTTGTTTTAATCCATTTCGAAAATCTCTGTAGTCTCATTGCTGTGTCCTGTTGGGATTCTGATTGCAAAATCACATATTTTACAATTATGTATTTGTAATTATAGTTTGATTTTAATGCCATATATTCATTTCAGGAGGATTTATTTCATATAATATTGCCTTTTATATGTAAATAGTATTTTTTTTTTCATTTAAGACTTTTTAATTACTCCAAAATTTTCATAATATTTTCCAGAAAATGTTTGCACATTTTTTGGTTATATAATAGTTTATTTGAGTATTTCGAACACTATTTTTTTTCTATTAAATGTTTTAATTGGTAATTAATGCCATATAGAAACACTATTGATTTTTGGATATCAATGTTTTATCCAGTACTTTCTCTGAATTCCTGTTAATTTTATTAGTTGATCTGAAAATTTTCTCACATGTTCTATGCAAATAGGCATACCATCTTCTAATAATTATAGAATTATTACAATTTTTTTCTAATTTTTGCTTCTTTTTTTTAATCTTACTCCATTGGCTAGGCCTTCTTGTATAATGTTGGAACAGTGATGGAAGGTATCCTTCTTTATTATTGATTTGAATAGAATGCTTCTAAAGTCTCAAAAATAAGAATGGTGTTTAGTGTAGGTATGGGATTGATTTGGTTTACCAGGCTAAGTAGTTCTTTCCTTATTTAGCCAAAAGTTTTGTCATGAATAATAGTCCTTACTGAATGCTTTTCCCGCATCTGTAGGTTACCACATTTTTCTCCTGTATTCTATTAGTGTGATGTCTTACATTAGCAGACTGTCCAGCACTGAACTATCCTTGTGCTCTTAGGGGAGAGAAAACACTACTTGGCACTGATGTGTTGATCCGTTTGGTTTGCTGATACTTAGTTTAGTATTTCTGTACCTATTTTTATTAGTGAGATTGATGTTACCTTCTTATATTGTATTTTTCTTGTTCAAGTTCAGCTACCCAGGATAATAATATACAAAAAGATTTGAGTGGATTATTCCACTTTCTATTCTCTGAGTAGTACATATGTACATGAGTGTTAATTAATATTATTCTTTAACCTGTTACATACAGGTGTTATATACTTCTTTATATGTATGATGTATATATAACAAGTAAAAATAATAGCTTTCCAACCCCACTGACGTAGTAACAGATTGTTGGAGATGATGATTGGTGCAGGACTCCAATTTGATGCCGACCCCTAGGGCTATTGAGAATTGACGCTCTATGCTCACATCTTTGCAGAATGAGTCTTTTTGACTGCCTGTCTATTTTTAAATAATTTTAGGTGGTTTAGAAAACAATGACCTTGGGATGTGGAGTCATCCAGAGGTAGAGGAAACTTTCAAAGGGATTTATAGTGTTCCAGGGACCGTGGATGTGGCTGCCCAATGCAGGGTCTCCCTTAAGAAAGCCGCTCAATGCACATGCTGTTGGTGGTACTGATCATGCCGAAGAGAATTTCTGTGTAATACAGAGATTTTTCAAGACCCAGACAGTTATTCGATTCAACCAACTTCCGGGGTCATTAAGATTCTTGTATACATCGTAATGGACTTTGACTTACATAGCTGTTCTTTTTGCTTGATGATAAATTTTTCTCTAACCTTTGTTCATCAGGAATGGAGCCTATACAGGTGCCTCTTGAGGAAAATGGTGAACAGGTTCGGATTTGCCAAAGCAAGGTCTGTGCGGACAGGTGAGACTCTGCAGCAGGTGAAAATCTCAGGTCCATCTGCAGGTGGCAGGAAGGAGACGAGTCCATCAGCTGCTACCTTCCCTGGCGCACTCCACTCCCATCACACTGGCTCCTTGCTGTTCTTCAAACCTACCACACACGCTCCCTTCTGGACTTTGCACTCTGTTTCCTCTGCTTGGAATGCTCTTCCCCTATTTATACCTCCACGGGGCTCGCTCCCTCACTTCCGTCAGTCTCACTTCCATCAGGTCTCTGCTGAAGAGCCCCTTTCTCAGGGGCCACCTGAGCTCCCACAGGATCAGCCCCTCCCTCTCTGCTTACCCTGCTGCATTCTTCTTTGCATTTACTGTTTCCCAGCATTTATCTGTAGTCCCTCCGGCTAGAATGCTGACCCGAGGGAGCAGAACTCAGTCCGTGTTGCTTCCTGCAGAGCCTGGAACAGCGGTGTCGGGGAGGCGGGGTGAATGAGAAACATTCAGAGGAGGCATGGTGGAGCTTGGGTGGGTGGCTGCTGTAGAGTGGTGAGGGCAGGGACCTGATTTGTATTTTGAAAAGACTGTCTTGTGGGTGTAAAATAGTCGGAAGGGCGTCAGGGTGCAAGTGGGAAGGCCGGCTGAGACAAGATCGAGGCTTGGGCCAGCGTCGGGGAAAATCGGGTGGGTGTCAGACATGTATTCTGGAGGTAGACTCACCTGAACTAGCCGATGGATTGGATGTGGAGCCTGAGGGTGNCGGGTGGGTGTCAGACATGTATTCTGGAGGTAGACTCACCTGAACTAGCCGATGGATTGGATGTGGAGTCTGAGGGTGTATAATTTTCAGGTGCTGACCCATAAGTTATATTTTATCTGGTTGTGGNCCTGAGGGTGAGGGGGATGTCATGTCCCTCAGGTTGTATAATTTTCAGGTGCTGACCCATAAGTTATATTTTATCTGGTTGTGGATTATTGCCTGATCTGAGTAACCGATGATAAATCATCTGCTAAATTCTAGGAAATGTAGAAAGTGAAGTTGAATATAATAATAACATTTCTATTTTATTTCTTGATTGTGAATGTTTATAAATCTGTTTATTGAATATATTGAAAACCTGCCTCCCTTTTTATGTAAATTTAACGTGGACCCCCAAACATGTGCAATAGCAAACTTTCTGAGGCAATAGGTTCCTAGCCCATCTGATACCCCACCCAATTTACTCCCCAAATACAGTTCACTGTAACAGCTCACTAAAGATTTATATATAGAAGGCTTTAAAAACACTAAGTACCTATTAGTTGACACAATGAGCTCATTAGTGGGTGTTTGTGCGCAGTAGATCGGGGTACTGCATACTATGGAATCTGATTACATTTACTTCTGCACTGCCTCATATCATGTCAGTCATAAAATGATATGTTAAATAATAAAGCTATATCTAAATTGGGCTCCAGGTTTTAAGGTCCCTGGGCCTCACTGGGGTGATGAAGGGCTACACCTCAGGAAAGGGTGAAGGCGTAACAGCATTGTGGCGCTGGGTCGTCCTGGAGCCGGGAGCTGAGCCCAGTGTGCGTCTTTTGACCAGTACCTGTGCCAATAAACAGTCACTGTAGCAGCGAGGGCAGTGAATCTTGGGTAAACATTTTTCCTGTCGCTGTTGTAAATCTTCTCAAAGGCAGAAATATAGCCATTTAGGAACACCTGCAGTTACTTATCAGGCTCACCCCTGGACATTTCATTTAGCTGCATCTGAGAAGGATGCTATTTTTTTCGTTAATAAAGCTTTTCAGGTAGCTAGAAGTTAGGCTGCTTATGCTCGGAACCGTGAGTACGTAATATAATGAAAATGGAATTTGTTGCAACCTCTCAAAGCGCCAGAGAGAATGTGCTACAAAGTGAGGTTTCATTCTGTTCTCCCCGTCCTAGAAAAGAAAGGCAACTATTTTTCTCAGTAAAAATCAAGGATAAGATATGTTTTCAATAATATCTGTCTTATAATCCCAGTGTAGGATATTAGTAATTTTTCCTTATAAATTATGGTGATGCACAAATTAAAAAATTCTTAAATTTGGAAAAATTTTAGAAGATTGGAGAGTTTTAAAAAACCAGATCGATAAATGTACTTACATTGGGAATTTATAGGTATAGTGGCTTTTTCACAAACCAAACGTGTCAGTCCATGTGGTCTGGCTGTGAGAGAAAATATTACAGTCAGGCCCATAGTGAAAAAAACCAAGACATGTCTGGGTGCAAGGGCTTCTTAAAGCAAAATAATGCTCTGGAGAGTCTCAAATTCCAAGGTTTGTTTTCTCAGTGGCCGTAATTAATATAAACAAGGTCTTCCAAGGGGAATCTTTTTATCTGATCTTAAAGCTTTGCACTAGCCCCAGATCTCAGGTCTTCCTGTGCCTTGGAAATCTCCCTGCAGCTTCTCAAGCACACTGTCACTTTAGGCTTCCTTCTGGTTGGGGGCTCAATTATTTATATTTATATTTAATTATATATATTATATTATATTATATTATATTATATTATATTATATTATATTATATTATATTATAATGTTATATTATATATTATATTATGTTATATTATAATTATATTATTTACTTTTTGCCACTTAGATTGTTATTTAAAGAAATACTATATAAC